TATATATATATATATATACATATTTAATGTCCCTTTTATTTCTTATGGCCTTTGTTTTTATTTTATAATTAATATCAATAAATATGTATAATATCAAACACAATTTTTATTTATTTATTAATATTATTATTATAATTTATATAATTTTTTATTTTTATCATATGAGTAAAATAAAATCAGAGTAGAATTTTTTATTATATTTTTTTGAATGAAATATAAAATAAATTTGTTTGCTATGGAAGATTATTCTTTATGCAAATCGTTTGAAAAAAAATTATTTTTTTCCAGATTGCTTCAGATTATTTCAGAGTCGTGGTGAGACATTTCCTCAGATGTATCATAAAACTTTATCGATAATTTGTATGTGTCATATAATTTTCTGAGAATAACCAGTACAATGAATCATTACACTTAAATCGAGAAATGTCACGCAACGTCGATAAAAAATTGTCGAGAAATCGTTACATTACTTTTAATATAAAACATATATTATAGAAACGTAATGAAGTTTTATTATTAAATAATTATTATTACATGTATCATTTGATATGTAATATCAAAAAATTATGAAAAATTAAATGTTAAGAAAGTAAATAGAAATTTCAGATAATCGAATTTACTGATAATAAAGATATCGAATAATCGGTCATTCCTATCGATCCAATCTTTTCCCTTTATCCCTTTACAAAAGGAAATAGATAATGGTAAAAAAAAAAAAAAAAAAACGAAACAAATACTCGTTTATATTTATTTTAAAATAACTGCGCTAGAAAGTTATACCCGCGAAACAATTTTGTGAGAGTTGCAACATTTTGTAATATGATTTCTTCTCTGGATTTCGTAATTAGAATTAGTTATTCTTCTTTCGTTTTATAATGGCACGGAATTTTTGGGGCATAACGTAACATAAAATACATACCGGGATTGAAACGAAGCTTGAATTTAGCGCTAAAATCAAATGGGAACATCAAACTAGCAAAAATTCGAAATCTAGTCACTGGATAATAAAAAAAAAAAAAAAACATCTATATACATATTTTAACTAATTCTTTAATTGAAGATATTCTTGTTCATTGTCAACTTTTATTTTTATAATTAATAAAATACATCTCATAAGTTCACAAATAATCATAAGTTAAATTTTAAATTTAACTTATTCGATCATTTATAAAACTTGATTTTTAAATCTTCTGTTAATTTCTCACACGTGAAATACTATTGCTAACCACGAAGAACTGTTGAATAGAATTTATTTCGATCTTAGAATAAAGCAAATTCTCAGCAAAGGATAAAGGGAAAAGGTTGTACGAGTTATGGGACTACGTGGGGCACGGTTCGCGATCGCTTAATTCCTTTAAATTACATGGAATTGGAGGGAATAATTTTCTCCATTCTTGGGGCACCGACCAATTGTACGAGAGGAGAAACGGCGACCATCGTGGATGGCGACATGCAACAACGCACCCCAGGGTCACGCACACCATGTGCACGAATGAAAGAAGACAGCTAGCAAATAGGGAGAGAGATAGATCTTGGGTCTTTTTAGTGATCAAAAAAGCGAAAAGAATCGAGAATGTGAGAAAGATGAAGAAAAAAAAAAAAAAGAAAGAAAGAAAGAAAGAAGAAATAACGAACAAATAAAGAAATTAAAGAACAAAAAAAAAACGTTGCTTTTATAATTCAAATATGTCAAAAACTTAAATTTTATATTTATTTAAATATATATTTAAATAATTTATAAAATTTTTGTAATTTAAAAAGCAATAGTATTATTATAGAAGAACATAAATATTTATAATTATTAAATAATTTAATTAAATAATTTTGAATAATATTAAAAATTTTCTTTTAATTATGAATTCTTTAAAACAAATGACAATCTAACGTGATTAATTTGAAAAAAACGATATTATCTTTCTATAAAACTTTACAATAGAGAACGCGTTGATCGGAAGGAAGTATGTATATGTGAAGAATCGAACACAAAAAAAGAGAATATATGAATACAACGAAGAGAATAAAAGAATTAATATGTGGTGATGAGGCTCATACATTAACATGAGCCACATAACATTGACGATCATGTGAACGCAAGAACATAAAAGAAAAACTTGATAGACTATCGTTAGGAAGAACAGTGTTGCTCCGTTATATCGTTCAATTGCTATTACGTGTTGTTACGTGATAGATGGCAGTCGGATAGCTACCTGCGAACGTTCGATCGATTGACAGAGAAGACATCGAGGCGCCTGCGAAATTATACCTTCAAGTGAAATCGCACGCACAAACTTATGTGACTCGATGTACATATATATATATATATATAATGATAATACAATATATATCATTCACTCAACCTGTGATCAAAGTGCAGCTCAGTTGTAACGTTTGCTGATTCTTATAACAGTTTAAATTAAATAGATATTGCACGTCAATTTTCATTGTGATTAATAAAAACATTGTACTTGAATCGATTTTATGTATTTTTTTCCTTTATTTAATTTTTTTCCAATGATTATCATTTATCTTCAGAAGAAAAAAGATGTTATCATTATCGAAATGATAATTCACAATAATTAATATATTTCTACATAGAAATGTATTGTCTTATGTCGATTAAAAAAAATTTTATTAAAAAAAAATTTCATAACTGTGATTATAGATTATAGAAGATCATAATAAGTAATCATAATTCAAAATATATTTTAATATATTGATTTTATCAATATAAAAAAAAAAGAAAAGAAAATTCATAGAATTAAATTTAATGTTCTAACCGCAGAATGAAATTTTAACTTGGTAAATTTTCAATAACACGCTATTTGATCTAGAATAAGATATTACTAGTCGCGTGGCGTGCGACAGACTTAATGGGATTTGCACGGCATCGCATAAGTAGTACAATTGTTAATACAAAGGGTCGTATTTCAAGAGTGAAACACACGCATATAAGTTGGAAAACTGGCTATGGCAAGCTAACCAAGTAAAACGTTATATCAAACGTCTTTATGACATAGGGAACGTTTAACAATTTGTTTACGAGTTGCTTTACAATTGTGACTCTGTTTTCGTATTGCGCTGAATACAAATCAAGACACTATTCTTAACAAACGTATTGATTGATTAAATTGCTACGAAATGCTTACTATAGATATATATATATATATATAGTATAGTACAATATAGTATATATATAGAAATCTAAAAGAGATTGACATCAAATATTGCAGAATTATTAATTCTAGAAAATTCTTGTATATTATTTTTAATATGAAATATACACAAGGAATAATATAATATGAAATAATATGAATATACAATTCATATATTTTCTATTCATATATCATATTTAATTAGTTTCAAGAATTTTATCACAAATGAAAAAAAAATTTTTGAAACTTAATTAGCTAAGAGATATTACAGTTTCGCAAAGGTCATCATATTGGAAAAAATATGAGGCAGAGAAAACAGCGTAGAAAAAATATATAAACAAGTAATATATAAAATTATTATATTTTACATGACAGATGACCTCGTCATTATCAATTGTTTTCAAACGAGAATACCGATATAGAAACTCTTTGTTACTTTTTATCGACTTTGTTACACATATATGTGTTTATACATATATATATATATATATATGAGTCACGATTGAACCAAATGCATACAGTGGGTGGTTTCCCTACCTTTTTCTATGAGTCAGGCATTGACCTCTACGAATGCTAAAACTCAAGATAACTTGTACCACATTTCTGAGGGGAATTTATTAAAACCGTGATAAAAATAAATGACAAATTGATCCGTATGAAAAAACTGAAGATATGTATATTATACATGTATATTCTATATATTAGTGGCACATAAGTCATTTTGATTATTATATATACTATATACATTCAAAGAAATAAATATTGAAAATGTTCATTATACAATTTTCAATATAAATAATTACAAATAAAAATAACTGTTGTTTAAAAATTCTCCCAAAATCACTTTGTGATATTCTTAGAATTTGTTGGAAGACAAACATTGAAAATATTGCATTAGAGAAATATTTATCAATTCTCATTTTCATAACTTCTTGTATAATTATCAATTTCTTTAAATAGATTAGTTCTATTTACAATGAAAATGTTCATATAATTATTTTTTTCTTTGTACGCCTTACTAGGGATTTACATTAAACTTCACAACATGGTATCATTGCTGGCATACATAATGTGTCAGACCAAAGGAGGGGAAAAAGTTAATTTTCTTCCAGACACACTTTGGATACTAAAAATAGATCTTTCAAACTAACGCCAAATGTGTTTCCACTTTTAAAGGACACAGGAAACGAAAATTTTATTCCCCTCTGTTTCCTTCTCCATTATTTATAAAAGCAACTGCCAAGTACTTACTTACTATTTATTATGCATTGCACAGATCCTCTGGAAAAAAATTTGGATACGTTATTTCTACTATATCATAATATAACGTGAAGATGAAATAGAATATATATATATTTATATATACTTTTTTGTTTTTTTTGTCTTAAATTTCTTTTTAGCAATGT